TAAGGCATGGTAAAATATTTGGATTCCATTTATCAAATAGAAACCAAACATGCATGTGGTAATTAACAAGTGTGCACATCAGTAATGCATTCCACTAGGTTATCCTATTCTTCATATTCTTTATGATGTGCTGGCCATTCAATTAGTTTAAATCTTAAAATGATAATCAAAGAGGCTGATGATTTACTCAAGGCCATGCTGCAACTCAATGATGAAAAGACAGAGGGGAAAAAAATCCTTTATTAACTTCCAGTTTGCTTCTTTGAATAACTCTGATCCCTTAAGAATGCAAAGCTAAGAGTTTCAGGTAGAACATAATGAATGTCACCATTGATATTATCTATAATTAAAAAGTCACTGCATGTTTACTGTGTTCAAGGCACTTTGAGGAGTGAGAAGAATAAAACAGAATTATAGTTATAATTCAAAATGTCAAAAAATCATTATAGAAGTTTCTTTCTTTGTGGATGAAGAGAAATTATCTCCCATCAATTGTGGAGAGTGGAGTATGAAAAGCCTATGAGACCTTGACTTAAGCAGAGCTATGCCAAATAAACTGCAGGCTGAGTTTGGCACAGTCCCAGCTGCAGAAGAAGGCGAGGGCAAAATGTAGCACAGCTGCTTTTCTTAAGATGTTTATATTCAGAGAGTAGTGGTCACAGGTTTCTCTTGTTACACTGTCACACCCTTCCTGGAGAACTGTTGCTCTACCTCCTTGTTTGTGACTGTATATAAAAGACTCTCTGAAGGAGGACATGGGGGGCTGGCTGCTGGCGCTTGGGAGGTGTGGCTGCTGCAGATGCTGCTGGCAGTGGCTGTTGTTGTGTGTCTACCAGTCTAAGGACCAAGACTTTAGGCATTTTGTTAGAGATTAGAGGAAACATGGGACAGTGCAAGTCTGAGACCAAGACTTTGAAGAATAGAAAAGAAGTAAGGTTTTAAAGAATAGAGAAAAGCAGCAAAGTAAAAGAGAAGAGAGGTAAAAAAGAAGTAGCAAGGCTGTTGTGTGTCTCTATCCAAGCACCTAGCACACCTGATCCCAATTTTCCTGCATCTCCATTTGCCCCCAGTTAGGTCAGTAAGACAAGAGCTCACATAAGAATCACTGAGGAATACTAACATAGAAAACACAAAATATGAGTACACTGTTTTGAAGAACATATAACCTTGATTTTCAGGGTCACATTCAAATTTCAAGGCTATTTGTAACACAGCTGGATCACACCTTTTCCTCCTACACTACTACACTACATCCAATTGAGGTGTCTTTAGAGAATAACTGCCAATGCAGAAGAAGACTGTGCCTTCTGGAACAGTCCCCGTTAGATGATCTCAGCTCTGCTAAGTGATCTCAGTCTATCACCAAAACACTCAGGACCTCACATTCTCTGTCTATAAAAGCTACATAAAATTTAACTTGCTCCCTTGTGATAAATAAGTGACAGAGTACATTGGTCCTTTGCCAGACATAAAGTACCATATAAAGGTGTGGAGTTATGCAACACCCTGGTTGGTCTATTAATACCTAAAACATCTGTCATTTTAGTCACCCTTTGACTTAAAACTTAAAACTCCTGGTCTTTAGGAGGTCCCTGTGAAGGTAAAAAATCTGTCAAATGAAATAATATATTAAGTAATTATCATCATAGTGTATCCAGGTACTTGAATGTGATGGGTCACAGTGAAAAACATGTATTATTGGTAGTAATAAAAAGAAACAATAAGAAGACACAAACTACCAATTCATGCAACAACATGAATGAACCTCACAAATGTTATTCTGAGTGAAAGAAGTCAGAAAAATACAAAACAAAGGTCATACTATACTATCCCATCTTTAAGAAATTCTACAGTATCCATAAGACAGATGGGTAGTATAGGAAACTTTCAGGTGATGAAAATAGTGTGTGTCTTCAAAAGGGTGTGGGTCACACTAATTCATGGGTCTTTCAAAACTGACTTAAAGGGACAGTTAAAACCTGAGCATATCACTACATAAATGATACATCAATGTAAATACCATCTAATGCTATCTACAATGGTTACTTAAAATAGCTCTTACATTTTATGAGTGCATGCTGAAATTTTCACAGATAGAAAAATGTATGGAAAGCTTAGAATTTACTAAAACTGAAGGGTTCATTGTGAGATACAACTGTGCATTGGAACACGGTGGGGGGAGGAAGTTGGGCGGTAGTCACATGAGAGCATTTTATTCTGTTTGTATATGTTTGAGTATGTTACATAATACAAACCTGCAAAAAGAGGGATGATCTTGATTCACTTCTTCTTTTACAAAAAAGAATACTGGGAAAAGAAGGAAAACATACCTGTTCAAATTCTCAAAGCCAAACAGAGAACCAGTTCCCAAGTTCAACCTTCTTCTTCAGACTCCAAGGAAACACAATGTGAGCTGCAACCTTGTGGAAAGGTGGACTTTTGAAAAGGTAGACCAAGAGTACAAGGATGTTTTGAAGCAGTCAATTCACTCCCACAACTCTTCTTATATCTACTCAACATGTGTGGCTCTACCTTTAAGTGTAGCTTGTATGTATTTTACATATTATCAGTTGTTTCTTGTCCCTTGTGGCTTCAAAGTTTTGTTTTGTAGACTTAAACTGCATTTTACTTAAATTTTAGAACTCAAATGGGTGCAAGGAAAACATTTTAAAAAACAGCAAAAACTTGTTTTCCCTTCCAGTGCTCAGCGCATTTTGGGAATACAGGCAAAGAAACAGGCTTTTCTGTTAAAGGGAGGAGCTTGTTTCTCCATGCTGGAGGAACAGCTGTTTTCCATTCTGCTCTGAAAGAGGTGAAAATTTGTGTTAAGGGATGCAAAAATGTCTTGATGCTCCCGCATGTTTGTCTGTGTGTTTGTGCGGTGGGGAGGCGAGAGGGGCTGTCAGCTGGAACTCAAAAGGAAGCAGAAGTCAGAAAGGTGACAGCGAGCAGAATCTACCTTTCAGGAAGAGGCTGAGGAGGAAATTGGATATGGTAGTCCAAGAGGATAAATTACGCAGGATTTACCTCCTAAACCATGAATTTGAGTCCAGAAACTAAGTCCCAGTTCAAAGGTTATTTTGCCTTATGAACGCTTGTTTTCGACGGCTGGGGAATATTCATTCCTTGATCCACAGATGGGGGGAAAAAAAAATCAGAGTCTGGCAACCGCTGATTGGTAGAAAAGAAAATGGTGATAGTGGGACGGGAAGAGGATTTGCGGAGCCTCCTCCTGCCTCCTGGACCTGTAACTCTTCCTTAGTCGTGTCCTCCTAACACTCAGGACTCTTTCGGGCTCATGGCGAGATCAAGAACAAGCGAAAATCCTGAGGCTATGTGAACAAAAGCTACCCTTAACATTGTGTCCTACGCCAGTTCTTGAAATTTCAGGGATGTGAGGGACGCGTGTGAGCGCCCTTCCTGAACTGTCCGTCTCCTTCAGCACCCAGGCTGTCTGTCCTTGGTTGTTCATCCCTCTGTTCCCTGGGCTTCCAGGCTTGACTCTTGGGGGCGGGAGTCCCCAGAAGGACCAGAGTGAAGGCGAAGGAGGGGGATGGAGAAGAAAGAGAGAAAGAAAGGGAGAGAGAGAGAGAGAGAGAGAGAGAGAGAGAGAGAGAGAGAGAGACTTCAGCCCAAGCCTAAGGGCCCCCATCGCCAAAAAGACCCTGTGACCCTGAACTTGAGGTGAGACACAAGAACATCCCTCCTTCCAGTCTCCCAACACCAGAAGGGGGGGCTGAACTTGGAGGTGTAGCTTGCCCTCCACCCCCATCCCCGGGCAAGAAAAGGAACCAAGTGCACGCGGCAGGGAAAGCGAGCGAGAGAGCGAGCGCGGAGAGGGGGCGGGGAGAAGCGCTGACAAATCAGCTGTGGGGGCGGTGAGCCGGGGAGAGGGAGCCGCGAGGGGACCGGGAGGAGGACCGCCACCACGGAAAGGGGCCAAGCGAGGGGGCAAGCGATCCGGCGCGGCGACGGAGCGAGCGAGGTGCGTGCTGCCTTTGGAGCGGACAGGGACTCAGCCCTGCCTTTGCGCCCTTGCGCTCTCGGCCGTCCTCCCTGTCGACCCCGGATATCTTTATCTAGGATCCTCCAGTGTTGGGGACGGGGAGTGGCAATTCGACTACAGGTTTGCCTCCCACGCTCCCAGCCCCTCCTCTCTCGGTTGTGCTGGCAGCAGCCTCCTCTGGGGACCATCCCTCTCCTGGTGCCGCCTCCGCCCTTCCTGTGCGCTCCTGTTTCTCTCTCTACCCTTTTAAATAATATTTGGGAATTGTTTAAATTTAAAAACACACAGACACACAGACAAGAGGAGGAGGAGGAATCGGAGGGCTGGCGAAGCAGAGGGCACACAGGTAAGTACCTGTAGATCTAAACTGGCAGCTTTGGAAATCCTGGCAATCCCTGGTGGGAGAGGAATCACCGTGGGCCAGGGGATGGGTTGGAACAGCGGTGTGGACCTTCTGCGCCCAGTCTCTCTGACGGTGGGTACTTGTTGGCTGGCAAGCTTAAGGAAAGTAAATTACCTGGCTTTCCTCCTGCTTCCAACATTCCCCTCTCTTCCCCAAAGGCTGAGGGGCCAGGCTGCCTCTCCCGAATGCGCTGTTTTCTTGCGGAAACGCTAGGAGGGTCCCTGGAATGTGAACATGCAACTTTCGTTCCTCTTACCTTAATCCGAACCATCCCCCACCCCCACCCCTCCTCCCCGTGCGCTATATTGGTTTTCTCTGCAAAGTAAGGAAACTGCATTTGGCTTATAATTAAATGCAAGCACAGAAAATGCAAGTCAACAGGTGGGAAGGGGTTAACAAGTGTGCAGCCCAGGTTCAGCTACCCGGTTCCAGTGGATTCCAGCTGAGGAGAATGCTCCATCGACTCTCCCCCTCCCTCCCCCTTACAATGACTGACTGTGGTCTGGAGCCAACCGCGGGTGTGGGCAGCACCTGCTTAGGATAGATAGCCCAGGGCGAGGTGATTGGGTCTGCTGGATTATAGAACACAGTCCTTGTGTTCCTTTTGGCTTGCTTTTCACTACATCCAGACTGAGTAGTTTTCTTCCTTCTGCTCTCCACTATAGCCCTATTACACTTCTTTTGGGATGCCTGTAAAAAATGTCTGTGGCTCCAGCTTCCTTTCTTTTCCTTTTCCTTCTTCTTCTTCTTCTTTTTTGCTTTTTCTTTTTCTAAACATGTTCTAATTTGTTCTGTCACCTTTGGACCTTGGGAAGTTGAAAGAAGGGTCCATCTTTTCATACAACTCCACTTCTGAAATGCTGTAAGAACAGCTCAGATGATTCATCCATGTTTAGGTGGCTAGACTTTTGCCAACCAAGAGAGATGAGAGATGTTAAATTTTTAATGCAAAAGCTTGGTTGAAATGAGGGGACACTTAAAAGTCTCATCCTCTTGGGCGGATTCTATGGATTTTTTCAGTGATTTCTTTATCTTGCATATTTTGTCCTTGCTTTCTTTTACCCAAAGATTCTCATTCAAAGTGTGTTTTGTGTTCTCCAGTGCGGTGTAAAAGAAAACATTAACCATGGATGTATTCATGAAAGGACTTTCAAAGGCCAAGGAGGGAGTTGTAGCTGCCGCTGAAAAAACCAAGCAGGGTGTGGCAGAAGCAGCAGGAAAGACAAAAGAGGGTGTTCTCTATGTAGGTAGGTACACCTCAGATGTCACTGTGCTATTTATTTCTGACTGAGAGTTGGCATGATTGATGCTGTAAATGCTGCTGTGTCTTGCTTGATTCATTTCTGGATCATCACTTGTCAACAGGATGAACTGAGTCATAGGTATGTGTAGGTGGGTGAAAGCGAATGTGTATATTTTAGCTAATAGTAAAAAAAATGGGGCTAATCTTTTGTTTTGCAAGTTTGTTTAATTTTTTTCTAATTCTTGGGACTTTTTTTCTGTTTTAAATGAATGTCTCTGCACAAAAGTGACTATATTTCAAAGGCTAATTTTTAAAACTCAAAATCTGTTAAAAACAATCAGGAGTATTCTTAAGAAACAGTCATTCAAGGATTTTGACGTCTTTTATCATCATCATGTATAATATCTGCTAATTTTAATGTATTCTGATTTTAAGATAAGACTTTGATATGGTCCTCTGATGAGTAACAATTGACCTATCCTGGAAGGCTCTAAAATGAAAAGGACAAATGTGTCTTTGGTGGAATTATTCTTTGTGATAGTTTGATCACTGTAAACATTGGGGTCTTGGTGCTCAACAAAGTGCTTGAGGGTGCTGCTTATAACTCAGAAATGTCTATATATCTCAGAAATGTTTATATATTTCATTTATCAAATGGCCCACACCATAAATAATGGAGAGATTGATACTTACCACCCTTCTTTTTTTCTTAAGTACACATCATGTAGTAGACACCCAGACTCTTTTCTGCTTCCTGACCTGTGTTAAGCAAGGTGTTATTTTATAAACCATGTCAAGTTCTTTGGGGGAAGGAATAGACACATATATGTACACATTTGTCCATATGAATTCATCCACTAGTGTATACATGCACACATGAGTACACACACACATACACAAACACACTTCCCACTCTTCCTCTCCTTTTTCTCCTTTGCCTCTCTGTTCTCTTCCACCTTCTCTTATGTCAACTATGGTAGCAGGAGTTACAAGGTTTGCAGTCAGGTGGAAGATGAGCATATTGGATTGGTTATACCTAGGACTGTGGAGTGAGGGAAAACAATGCTGCTTTTCCACCATAAATCAGTAGGGGAAAATTTATAGCTGGAATGATTTTCATAAATGATTCTGATCAAAGTTTATAGTAGTTCATTTTTTTTCAGTCTTCATAGATTATTTTTGTTGACTTAATCTTTCCACAAATCACTTAAATTACTCTTTCTCTACCTCAAAACATAATTTTAGAATATCTTGAAATCAGTGTTGCACAAGGAAAAATCTTGTGAGTTAATTCCAAATTTTGTGAATTGTAAATGACACAGTTTTAAATACAGTTCAGAATATAAAATCATTGACTTTTAAATTATCACTGTCTCTTTTTTTTGCCCTTAGTTTTTCCAAGTTGTACAACTATAGGCTTGCAACAATATTTTGATTTCGATTACCTGATAACTTTGTGTCTTTAAGATTTTTTAAGATGTTAATATTTACTGCATTTGTTTTCAGCAAATTCAAAAAATATTGAGTATGAATTGCTTTTTTCCAGGTAATGGACAGATTTTATCATCTGGAACACTCATTTATTTTCACTGTTAATTAAGAGTTGGGAAAATAAAATGATTTTATTTTTATTTTATTTTCTGCTATTTGGTGTAATTTGTTTATGTGTTCAATGTTTTTAAAATCATTTTCACTGCCTGTCATGATATTTATTGTGTAGCATAATTAATATTTAATGGTTATGCTCTGAAGTCTAATTAAAAGCTGAACACATACATAGAATTTAAGATGAAAAGTGACCAGGTGAAGACACAGAAGTATAATCTAAGAACTGGCAAACTTTTCTGGCTAAAGGACATAATAGTATATATTTTGGACTTTAAAATTTCTGTCTCAATTACTCAACGCTGCTGTTGAAGGTGAAGGCAACCAAAGGCAATAGCTAGTGTGGCTCTGTTTCAATAAATCTTTATTAACCAAAACAAGTGGAGGGCTGCATTTCACCTGTAGGCTGTAGTAAATGGAAAGAATATGGACCTGATGCCATGAAAACCTAAGTTTACATCCACACCAGAGCACTTCCTACCTTTTAATGTGTTGGGGAAGTTACTTTATATCTCTAAGCATGGCTTCCCTCATTTGTAAGAACATAATTTAGAAAAATTCAACCACCTTCAGAATATTTGTAAGAATGTCTTACTAACATAGAACATATAAGTAATTAAGTACTCTTTTGTGTATAGGAGCCATGGTTATTATTATCAGTTAAACCATGTGACACACCAATTACTTTGCTGACAGGATTTCTTACCTTTTTATCTTTCATTACAAATACTATTATTAATAATTACACTGAAAAATTAGAAGTGATCAAAAACAGTTTTGTAATTTCACTGATGACTGAAGAAGGTTAGAATAAGATTCATAAGAGCGGTAATTTTATTCCTTTATAAGAGTTCACTTTTGGCAATTACCTTTTAACTAATGGAAGAACTGCTGTAATAATCAGTGTTATTTTATGTTTTTTTTCTCCATTTGTGACATTTGTGTATAAAAGTTTTCAATCTAAATAGTTCTACTTAATAGATGAAAATATCCTCAATCACAGGACACAAATTATAATTTGAGATTCAAATCCCAAAGCAGAAAAAAATCTCCAGTATATTTATAACATACCAAATTTTATAACAGTAAGTTTAAGAAAATAATGATCTTCAGAAATATTCCAAAGTTATTGTGCTCAATTAACCCCGGTGGTACCAGGGTGATTGATTTCTCACTGTCAAGGCACTCACCTAATGCAACTGAGTTCTTGCAACTCTCACGTGATATTTGTGACTGTCTACACTCTGCACCCTTGAGAGGTCCAGAGAAACAAGGAAGATAGCAAAGCAAGGGACATTGGAGGGTGGGGATGAGCTACCTCAGCTCAGAAAAGCCGTTGGCTCCAGTGTACCTCAGCTTTGATATCTTCCTTGTCATATAGCCCCATGGCACCTATTTTATAGCTATATCATATCAATTAGAGATTACCCATACATAGAAGGTCAATTACCAATTACAAATGACTGAAAAACAATTATGACAGCAAAGATCAAGTGATTGATTTGATGTAACTTCATCAATATTCTCATTTGTCTTTAATCCATAATTTAAGTAAAGTTCAAATTATCAAGTACTATTGAGGCAGAGAAGAAGGACCAGTCATTAAACATCTGTTTCCACTAGTCATTTTTTAAATATGGGGTACAGGGAGTGGGGGTAAGGGATAGAGATGAGAAATATTCTTTTAAACACAAGCTGTTCTCACTGTGCATTCTTCCAGTACACACAGATTCCAGTTAACACGGTTAGTTAAATAACACCAGTTCCCAAACAACACGATTTAAATTTCTGTTATTGCAGTGCATAAGTTGTGAGTAATTGCACAAGGTACAAACATTACTGCTAGCTCTTTAGCTCTCAAATTATTACATAAGTAATACAAGCCCATTATAATCAGTGACTAAATTATGTCATATCTTCCAAAGTTTCTTGGTGATTTGTCACTTTACCTCTGTAATTCAGTTCATACAGAGCAACATATAGCAACACCTGGAGTTGTGTTGCCTCTTTGTCTATCTGCAACAAGCCCATGTGACATTTTGCAGAAATCCACTTTAGAAAGAGGAATGTGACCAACAAAAGTGAAAGTGCAGCAAAGAAATGAAGTAAAAAATGCTGGAAGTAAAATTTGAATCAAACATCCGTTGATTTATAGAAGAAATAACTGACTATGGAGATGCATCACTAGTGTGGTCAAGAGACCCTAGACCATGGGGATAGGGTGTAAGAGGGTGAATATGGTGCAAATACTGTGTACACATGTATGCAAATGGAAATATTATATCTGTTGAAACTATTCCAGGAATGGGGGAGGAGGGGATAAAGGACAGAGATGGAGGGAGTGAATTCAATTATGATATACTTGATATATATTGTAAGAACTTTTGTAAATGCCACATGTACTCCCAGCACAACAATAAAAAAGATCTTATTGAAGGTAAATGTGTCAACAGAAACCGGGAAAGTGACTGGTAGATCTGGTGAAAGGGAATCGGGAAGCAGTGCAGCCAAAGCAACTCATATTAAAAGAACTCTTAGGGATAAATCATGCTAATTAAAAGTGCAATGGGTACCATTGTGAAAATTGATCTGGACTTAGAAAAAAGTATGACTATTGTGTGAAATATAAAATGATGCCCAATCTATACAGGAAGTTATGCAGTGGGAAGAAGGCAGACTCCTTTTAAACTACTCTTGATACATTTTTTTAAATAAAGAAATAAAACACTTTTAAGTTACAGTATGCTAACTAAATATTAGTTTAAACATTCTTCATTTCTGTATACATTTCTAAAGTGACTAAGAGATTTTTAATATTTTGGCAAACATTTTTAAGGATCAAGAAACAATTATACACATCACTGATTACTAGTAACTTTTCTTATTGTTAAATAATCTACACTGCCTCAGGAAGCTTCCACAATCTCACAATAACATGCAAAGTGAGCATTACCTGTAAAATACACGCACACATCATATGTACATACGAAATGCTATAATAATGTGACCTTTGCCTTATTTACATAACATTTATGATTTGATTATTTTTTTCCTGTAAATTAAACTTCAGATACCTTTACAAGCTGTGTGTGGAGAATAATAATAGTTATCACTTACTAAGTACTTAGTATGTCCAAACACTTTTCTAAGAACTTTATCTGAATTATTTCCTTTATCATCATATTGACCTAGTGTTGTATATTTTGTTATTTTGTGGTGAAGAATATATCAAGCTAGACTCGAATCTAGAGCCCACATTCTTCTTGACTGCAAAGCATTAGTTTATGTTTAATTTTTACTGGAACCTTCATATTGAAATTGAAAATTCTTAAAGATAATTGTTTTATTAGATATAGACACTTTACTCAACTGTTTTTGTAAAATATAAGTTTAAATATGATACATACAAAGTTCACTTAATGCCATGTTTATATGTTCACAAATATACAGCAAATGTTTTTGATATGATCCTGAATTTTACTTAGATCATCAAATTGATCATAGTATCTCCATTATAAAAATTTACTTCTAAATTTTAAATAGAGTTGGAGCTAGAGACTATGTTAGAACACAGTTTCTCAAAATCTGATCCATGAGTTACCTAAATATCATGAGGGTTACTAAAAATGCCAATATCTATACTTTGCATTTAATTATTTTTGATCAGCATTTTTCACCAGCATGCCCATTTAGGCAATTGTGTTACACTCTATTAGTTTTAAGAACTGTTTGAAAGTAGTTAATTAGTTTTGTGTATTAATTTTAGTGAAAAGGAAATAGAGGCTCACTTCCATTTCTTCTCTTTGTTTTAAGGAGTGTTTCTACCTGTTTCTTGTATGCTTAGTTGGGATTTTTTTTTTAACAGTGTATTTTTAAAATGAAGATTGGTAACTATCTTAACTACAGTTTTTAATTTCCTCACATATGAGATGAGTATAATGCATTTCCATTAAAGCATGTAATAAAGATTAAATTACATCAACTCTAAAATGCCATTTTCATAGGGAGGTTAAAATCACCCTCAGTTTTTGTGTCCTTGTTTCCTTATGTTCTGCTGTCTCAATGGAGCTACATTATTTGCATTATTGCATAGTTTTCTTCTTTCTTTCGTGGTACTGGGGATCAAACCCAGGGCTTCACGCATATTGGGCAATGCTCCACCACTGAGTCACATTTCCAACTCTAGAAATGTGAATTCAAAAGAATTCAAATTCTTTTGAAATTCAAAAGAATTTCAAATCTTTTGTTGCTATTATCTCCAAAAAACTTTTAATTAAAAAGCTGTTGTGAGTTATATTGAAAAATTCAACATTACAGAGGTTATGATTAAATGATTAACAAACTTACTTCTAATAACATATGAAATAATTGTTTGTATACAAGTTTAGTAGTGGTCAAAGTTGGAAGAAAGTTTTATCTTACACAGAGCCCTAGATTGAATGTGTTCAGAGCCTATTATTACATGTGTAGTATTAGTCAAATCATGTAACTATGATTTTTAATTTCCTTATATGAGATGGGCATAATACATCTCTATTAAATAAATGATATAAAGATTAAATGAAGTGAGAGCTCATATGCCTTTTACATAATAGGTGTTGGCAAATGTTAATGCCTTCTGTCCTTCTCTCTTCAACTTGGGTTTCACAAGTTAAGTAATCTTGATTGTGGTATACACTTACAACTTCTATGTTCTGCACTTAAAATCAATGTTATCTCATTTTGTTTCCCTTTGTAAGTTAATATATGAAATGGAAAATAAGAGGATTAAAAAGTCATCCTTTTGTGCTAAAATCTTTTTTCCTTTTATTAATTAAAATTATTTTAACTGATACATCAAAACACAAAAATTTTACATATTAATGGAGTACCATGTCATGTTTCAAGGCATGTATCATTGTGTAATCAGAAACCTGTATCTATCTCCTCAAACATTTATCACTTCTTTATAGCAAAAACATTCAAAATCCCTTCTGGCTTCTTGAGGTATACACTACACTACCTCTATCCATAGTCACCTACCATGCAATAGTAACTCAGGAACTGCTTACTGCTATCTGACTTGACTTCGTGCCTGTTGATCAACCTTTTCCAGTCCCTCCCTCCCTCCTATCCTCTTATCACTGTAGTGGTTACTGGATTTCCTCAGCTTAGTGGATTTTACTTTTTTTAAAAATTATTTATTCATTTATTTTGTCCTCTAAGATACTGTTATATATGGGCTTCTAAAGATTGACTTTTTTCATTAGTTATATTTTAAACTGGATACACAGAAACCTAAGGACAGCTTGAGACTTATGTCTTGAATTTCTTTGTTTTTATAGGCTCCAAAACTAAGGAGGGAGTGGTTCATGGTGTGACAACAGGTAAGTTCCAGGGTGCTCATATTCAGAGATATGCTCAAAATATTGATGAAGGAGCATACCAGAGAATTAAAATTCATAATGCAACAGTGAACAACTACTGTGCTTGTGCGTGAATACTGGCCTCATTTCAACTTTATTATTTTTGAAGTATTTTTAAATAGATAAATGTTTATTACAAAAAATAAGGCATATACTTAATGCCAAGAATGATGACAATATAATTAAGGCATATACTTAATGTCAAGAATGATGAGTTGACTAACATATGGTAATATGCTAAAATATAGTAGTTAATATATAGTACATACTATATGAACCAGTTAAAATATAGTAGTTAATAGCAGTTGAGCATTTGAGTATATTAACACAAAATTAGGAGACTGCTGCAAAAATAAAATGAAAAATTTGCTATTTTCCAAAGGGCTAAAATAAAATTTTCTGTATAGTAAAATATTCTGACCATAAACTAAATAATGATAATATTTTCTTTATGATTCAGGGAGCATCTTTAAAAAAATCCCCTCAAGAATTGTAAATTATTGTGTTTATCTCTGTGTGGCCTAATTTTACCAAGAATTTTTAGAGTTCTATAATAAGATTTACATAAAGAAAGACTAAAAATGATGAAAACAATGGTTGTGATGAGGAGGAGGAAGATATGGATGATGGCAATAAAAATAGAAAAACCAAAAGAGAATAAAAATTAACAAAGTAGCCCACACACTGGCTATAATTGAGTCTCCTGACCAGTGCTGTGAAACAGGAGATATAATCAGAATATAATTCATATAATCAGAAAGAATTACCCATAATAGTACCTCAAAGAATGACATATTCCTATCACTCAGTTATAAAATAGAGATGGGAAAGATGAATCAGGAATTGTAATGAAATGCTGTAGTTAAGACCCCATACCTAGCATCAAACCTCTTGTTCAATTTTCTGCTTTCTCCTCACTAGCTGTGTGATTTTCTGCAAAATTCTTAATTTCCATGTGATTTAATTTCCTCATCTGTAAAAGGCTAAGTGAATGAACACACACACTTAATGCACACGTAGAAAACTGAAAGCAAATATTGTTTATTGTACAGGTGTTAGTATTTCTTTCTAGTGGACCTACCTTGAGTAATATTTTTTTTCACAGCTAATAAAGAAAAGAATGTCATATGTCTTTAAAAGCACATAGCTTTGATAAAAATGAATACTTAAAAATAAAACAGAGCCCTTTGAAAACTGATTGTTTTAGAAGTAAATTATTCAGTTTTAATTTGCTTTGTTGCAATCCAAGATATAATGTAGAAAAGTAAGCAAGTAAACAAAGATCGATGGTGTCTGTTAGGGACATGATTTTAATAAGAACGAGATATTAGATGGGTGGAGTCTGCTTCCTGATGAGAGCCAACCTAGATTAGTAGTGTTCCATTTTGACAGTTAAGGAAGAACCTATGTAGTTTAGAAGTCAGATACCATGTGGTAAAAATTAAAGAATCGAACTAACACTGTCATTGAATTGAGGCTGTGGGGATGTGCTACAAGGATAACTGTTGACAAGTTTGGAAATGTTTAGTTTTCCCCAGAAGGCCAAAATGCAAATGAGAGAGATATGAGAGAGAGAGAGAGAGAGAGAGAGAGAGAGAGAGAGAGAGAGAGAGAGAGAGATTTAAAGCAATATTTTACAAATAATTTTCTGAAGGGTAATAGCTCACAAGCTTACATTTCTGTGGTTTTATTAGTTGGAAAGCTTTGTATACAATATCATTGATTTAGCATAGTAAAGAATTAGCAGGAATAGGTTTCAATAAGTAACATTCCTCTTCCATGTCAAATTAATGAATTATTTAATTTGCTGAGTAGGATTATTTAATATAAAATCCAAATCCTAGGTATAAGGACAAGTAAGTTGAAAATAATTAACTCAATATTTAAGAAGAGAGAAAATTGGTTGCTTATTATGCTTAGTCTAAAGTGTTTTTAAAGGTGTGTCACAGGTGCTCAATCAATGTTATCCATTACTGTTATTAGTGTTTACACAGGGAAGTAAGGAACTATTGTATAGTACATTGCATTATACACTAATGTTAAAGGTACAATTTCCACAAGATTCATTCCACTAGTTGTTTTTCTAAGGATACAAATTTTTATAAATTTAAGATATGAGTTTTCTACTTACAAAATCCAAGGAAAACAAATTTGCACAGGTAGATAATCTCAGGGTGAACTCTAGAAAACTGCACCTTAAATTCTAGCTTTTTGAACTCAAGAAATTATTTCAGTTCTGAACGGAATGTGTTCTTTCTTGGAATACCTGAGAATGTATTTCATGGAACTTACTGAAAGACATATTGAAGGTATTGTAAAAAAATAAATTATGATATAAGCTTACCTGTTTATTTTTCATACAAATAATGTGGTAAAACAATTCCCAATGCTGGAGACTTTCTGAAGATCTTGATTCTTATAAGCATAAACTTAGTACATCATAATGAACAAAAGTAATTTTGCACATGTTATGATTTAATGTCCTTTGTAAAAATTTTAAAATTTATTTCCCTCAAATTTATTATTTGTATACTAGTTCGTAGCTAGATCTTATTAACTTTGTAATTTTGTTCAGTGTCAAAGATGAAATTACTATATTTACTAAAATGTGCCACATTTCTTTTAGAAATTTTCATTTTAACTTAGCTAAAATCAAATGTAAATCTAATTGCTGAAGTTAATTTGCACATTATGGACATAAAATTTCTTTCAGTGAATTCCAAATTATTTCTTGAGTATCTACTATAAAATTATGAAAGAAAAATAAAACTAGATCCTTGTCTTTGAAGAGCTCAGATGGAATGGTGGAGGTGGGCAGACATCCTGCTAAATAAACAATGATGGTACCATGTAAAAGTTCAGTAGCAGAGTTTATCAAAACTTTATGAGATCACAGGAGGAAGAAGAAAGGCACCTGGTGGGAGGAGAGGATTTTTAACATGGAATGTGACATTTGATCTGGGTTTTAACAAAGGAATTCCTTTTGCTGAGAAAACAGTAGTGGAATAAAGACTTCTGGCCAGGTGGAGTTGTATGTACCAAAATAGACAAAACTGACCCAGCAGAAAAAACATAAGTGAATTCAGAATCTTATAGTGTCTGTTGATTGGGAGGAAAATATCCTTTTTGATCCTAGTTATAAGGTCTTTTCACTTAAAAATTAATATCATTTATTAAATCCAAAGGTACTAATTTGAGTTTGTCTTCTTTCTTCTTGTTTTAGAACGTTAATGATATAAAAAAAACTCTAAAGGGGAAAAGTGGGAGTTCCTAAGGTTATCAGAGAACCTACTAAAGAAATTAGTCCCACAGAAATCTTAACTGTGTATACTATTGCTACTTGTGCATGCTGCCATTTTGTAATGTTACTATTGTATTGTTACAATAATAGAACCCAGTGAAATTATAATCACGCAAAAATACATTTTACTATGCATTTTATGTGCATTTAGGTGACATATTAAAATTCATATATATATAAAGGAATATCTCTAGATATTGTAAAATTCATGACTGGCATAAAAACTGTGATTCTGTAAAAATTCAAAACCTTTGTCTTGCCTTGAAATTTTATGGCCAGAAAATGTTCATCTCAAGCAAAACTTTCTATTCATATTCTTGGAAAAGAAAAGAAATGACAACTTGAAACACATAATTCACCATTTTTAAAGGACTGAAAAACATTCCAGGAATATTAAAAAAACATAAAAATTCTAGTATAACATTTCTCTGGCCTTTAAATTGAACTTGAAGTATGCAAAGCAATTCTACTTCAAGGAAGCATCAGCCTTATCCAGAATGGCAGTGATCATTAGGTAAACCTGCAAAAGCCTAGCCAGAAAGGCTGAACAGGACTATATATCTGCTGTGGACTCTGTGCTTTTAGGCTGTGTGGCCACTTCAGGCCTCCCCACACTGCCCTGGTGTAGGGAATAAGCTTTATATCCTTACAAACCACCTTGACTCCTGTGGCCCAGCAAATCCATTCCAAAACAAATTGCTTTGCCCTTGTTGTTTAAATATTGGTCTTCCCAATGGTGACATGAAAGCTGTATGATATAATAATCAGGTGAATAGCACCTAATCACTGACAGGGGTTTCTCATCCTGAAACTTGCCAGGAGAGTAAGAAGCATAATAAGAAAATGTGTCATTATTAACTTAGGAGAGCATGTAAGGAAGAATATTATTCAAAACCAAAAATTCCTGGATTGGGGGGAAAAATGAGTTTATGAAGTAAATGAAGAGGAAAAATAGGACATAAATGTGGATAAAAGGTGCAAGATCTCAGGTTTTAAGATAAGGGTTAAGATGGAGAGAGGTTGAATCGACCTTGAAATTATTAAAAGAGCAGAATCTTGTATTCTGCTGCTTTTTCATAAAACTATTCAGTTTATTGCAACAAACTTGTCTTTTACTTGCAGTTTCCTTTAAATAATGATATAGAAATAAAATATAGAAACATGATTCAGCAATTAATATGGTTCTAAGATACCATGCATAATTTTTGATGTGAAAGTGAATCTGCTTAAATTTTCATCCAGACTATTTACATTATTTTCTCTAAATCTTTAACTCATTAAAAAAAACCTATTGAATCACAACATCATTTTTAATGGAAATTATAAGTGTGCTCAATAAATCTGTTTTCACACTTAAAGTCTAGCTTGTTTGATCTGATTACAATAACTGAAAATCAATATTATTGTTGAATTATTGTTTCACCACCTCCAGTTTCATAAAAGGATCAAAATTCATAATTGTCCTTTCTATTATTGTGGAATTTCTAACATTTATGAAGAATCTGGATGAGTGCATAGATACTACCTTACCAGAAGTGTTTCAGATTCCAGTTTTTGGGGGGGATTTTGGAAAATTTGCACAAATGTAAGATATTTTGGAGGTGGGACCCACTCTTAAATGTGAAATTCATTTGTGTTTCATATACTTTGCACATAGCCTGAAGGTAGTTTTATATAATATTTTTATAATTTTGTGCATGAAAGAAGTTTCATGATATGGAATTTTCCTCCTGTGGCATCATGTTGGTACTCAAAAGTTATGGATTTTGGAACATTTGAGTTTTGGATTTGTTTGATTAGTGATGCTGAATGTATAAGGAGTATATGTTATGTTACTTAGAAGACATGGTGGAAATGAACTTGCTGAGTGAGATCAAAGAGTTAGTGTTGAAACTGAAATAATGAAATAGATTTCATAATGATATTGATTCACCTATCATTGTATTGCTTCTGTACACTTTCCTTAATACAAACATAAGCAGAATTGCTCATGACTATATCTGTATGCTAATTAAATTTGAAACACCTTCAGCATAATTGCATCAAGATATCTTAGCAACGAGTCCATGTTTGTGTGTGCCATGCTCACTTAGAAATCTTGGTAGCTTTTGTTTCTTCTGCCTCCTCTGTTGTCTGTGGTTTATGTAAATATAGATGTGTAGAAATTAACAGGTAGTGGAAATGGAATTATTTAAAGCTATTGTCATTCTACCATCCTTTAATCTATCCAGTGGCTGAGAAGACCAAAGAGCAAGTGACAAATGTTGGAGGTGCAGTGGTGACAGGTGTGACAGCAGTAGCCCACAAGACAGTGGAGGGAGCTGGGAGCATTGCAGCTGCCACAGGCTTTGTCAAAAAGGACCAGCTGGGCAAGGTATGGTTGCCCAAATTTTATGTGATATTTATAAGCTCTTGAGGTCATGGTTTATTTTCATGTAAATAAAGAGGTAGGAATAAGATGTTTACTGTGGGATTGGGTCACCCGATCCTTCCCTCAAAAAAAGTACTACCTTTCTATGGGTCTTGTTTTTATGCAGTATTAACCCAGAGAAATGCCACATAACATCATACAATAATCATGATTGTTTCAATTTCTGGACGAAATTGAATAAAATGAACAATGTAGTAAATACCAAAGGGAACAGTGACATTTCATGAAGAATGGGTGCTTTTATGTTAATTATGAATCCTGGAATTTCTCTTCGTTGGAATAACAGATGTCTTTGTGCCTAATCTCTAAATTTCCCAAATGAAGATCTTTAACTTGATTTTTATATAATGACATCATCTCCTATTAAATGGCATATTTGCATATCACAAAACAACAGCTCATTACCAAATACGTTTGTGGGAACTGAGAGAATTAAAACGAATACCAGTCAGAGATCATGATTTAGAAGTGATTCTTAAATTTTCAGAACTTTAACATTGCATTTCTTGGTAAGTATGGGACTCTAGTGACATTATGCAAAAGGTGTTATAACTTTCATATTAAACATAGAAGTAACAGACTATGAGATGCTAGTTGGTCACAACAGCAGGATAATTTTTGCTTTTTCCATACTACAATGCTCTCCTTGTATTCCTCCAACAAATCAAACATACGCTTGCTTCCTCTATCCCCTCCGTCTGCCTGCAAGACTCTTTCTTCCCCAAGAACTTACTTGACTCAACCTCTCATATCCTCTGGTGTTTGATAAATGACACCTTGATGAGGTTTGCCCTAACTGATTTAAAACTGAAACCATTCTCCTCACTTATGGTATTCTCAATTTCTATACTCTGTTTTTTCTCCATTTTTTACCGAAGTATTTTTCACCTTTAAAAGCAATAAATAGTTTGCTGACTTTTATGTATGCTATGTATTTTTATTTCTCCCCTTCTAGAATGTAAGCATGAGAATGGAATGTATTTATTTTGTAGTCAAATATTTGCAAGTATCTACAAGAATTCCCAGCACATACTAGACAATAAATGAATATTTCTTGGTAATTATGGAAAATTTGGACTGGTTTCTAGAGAGGTTTTTTTATTCTTTTTTTTTCCTCTTTATTCGTATATTCATATGTGCATACATTTTTTTAGGTCATTCCCCCCCCCTGCCCCCTGCTCCCTCCCTGTCCCCCCTTGCTCTGCCCTTTTCTCCAGTTTTGTTGAAGAGAAGACATAAGTAATAATAAGAAAGACAAAACATTTTACTAGGTGAGATAAGGATAGCTTACAGAGAGATTCCTAGCATTGCTTCCACGCACAAGTGTGTTACAACCTGAATTGCTTCATCTCTACCTGACCTCTTCACTACATCCCGGTCACCTTCCCATATTGACCTCTGTCACTTTAAGGTTACTGTATTTTCTCCTCTGCAGTGGGGACATCAGGCACTTTCAAGTTTTGGGTTTCTATATATACCCATTCTTTCCATATGTGCTCTCCCCTTTGCGTGTGACCCAAGTCCAACAACATTGCTGCATTTGCCCTAGATCTAAAGACCATATATGAGGAAGAACATAAGATATTTGGTCTTCTGAGCCTGGCTAACCTTGCTCAGAATGATGTTCTCCAGTTCACCCATTTACTTGCGAATGATAAGATTTCATTCTTCTCCATGTCTGAGTAAAATTCCATTGTGTATAAATACCACATTTTCTTAATCCATTCGTCAGTAGTGGGGCATCTTGGCTGTATCCATAACTTGGCTATTGTGAATAGTGCCGCAATAAACATGTTCAGGTGCCTCGGGAGTAACCTGAGCTGTATCCCTTTGGGTATATCCCTAGGAACGGGATTGTTGGCTCAAATGGCAGATCTATGTTTAGTTTTTTTAAGAAGCCTCCATATTGTTTTCCAGAGTAGTTGCACTAGCTTGCATTCCTAACAGCAGTGTACAAGTGTTCCTTTTTCCCCACATCCTCACCAACACCTGTTGTTGGTGGTGTTTTTGATGATAGCTATTTTAACAGGGGTGAGGTGGAATTTTAGTGTGGTTTTGATTTGCATTTCCTTCATGGCCAGAGATGGATGGTGAACATGTTTTTCATGTGTTTTTTGGCCATTTGAATTTCTTCTTTTGAAAAAGTTCTGTTTAGTTCAGTTCCCATTGGCTCATTAATTTTGGGAGAGTTTAGTTTTTTGAACTCCCAATATATTCTGGTTATCAGTCTTTGTCTGATGTATAGATGGCAAAAGTTTTCTCCCACTCTTCAGTTTAGAGACCATTTCTTTTCTTGTGCAGAAGCTTTTTAATTTTATGTAGTCCCATTCGTCCATCCTTTCTCTTAGTTGCTGGGCTGCTGGGGTTCTATTGAAGAAGTCCTTGCCTATACCGATTGCTTCCAGAGTATTCCTGGCTCTTTCCTGTACTAACTTCAGACTTTCAGGTCTGATATTAAGGCCCTTGATCCATTTTGAGTTGATACTAGTACAGGGTGATAAACATGGATCTACTTTCAGTTTTTTGCAGGCAGATAACCACTTTTTCCAGAAACATTTGTTGAAGAGGCTGTCTTTTCTCCATTGTAGGTCTTTGGTGCCTCTGTCAAAAATAAGGTGACATAGCTGTGCAGATTCATATCTGGGTCCTCTATTCTGTTCCACTGGTCTTCATATCTGTTTTTGTGCCAGTACCATGCTGTTGTTATTGCTATTGCTTTGTAATATAGTTTGAAGTTGGTTATTGTGATACCTCCAGCATTGTTCTTTTTGCTGAGTATTGCCTTGGCTATTCGCGGTCTCTTGTGTTTCCAAATGAACTTTAAGGTAGATTTTTTCAATGTCTGTGATGAATGTCTTTGGGATTTTGATGGGAATCGCATTAAACATGTAGATTGCTTTTGGTAGTATAGCCATTTTTACTATGTTGATTTTACCAATCCATGAGCACGGGAGATCTTTCCATCTTCTGTAGTCTTCCTTGATCTCTTTCTGCAGGGGTTTGTAGTTCTCCTTCTAGAGATCATTCACATCCTTTGTTATGTTTACTACTAGATTTTTTTTTTGAGGCTATTGTAAATGGAATTGTTTCCATATATTCTTTCTCAATTTGTTCATTGTTGGTGTATAGAAAAGCTAATGATTTTTTTAAGTTGATTTTGTATGCTGCCACTTTGCTGTAGCTGTTTATGGTGTCTACAAATTTTGGGTAGAGTTTTTTGGGTCTTTAAGGTATAGGATCATATCATCTGCAAGGAGGGATATTTTGACAGTTTCTTTACCTATTTGTATTCCTTTTATTTCTTCTTCTTGCCTAATTGATGTTGGCTATAGGTTTGTCATGTATAGCCTTTACAATGTTGAGGTACATTGCTTCTATTCCTAGTTTTCTTACAGCTTTTATCATGAAGTGGTGTTGGATCTTATCAAAGGCTTTTTCTGAATCTATTGAGAGGACTGAGTGGTTTTGTCTTTGCTTCTATTAATGTGCGGTATTACATTTATAGACTTGTGTATGTTGAGCCACCCCTGCATTCCTGATGAAGCCAACTTGGTCGTGGTGAATAATCTTTCTGATATGTTGTTGGACTCAGTTTGCCATTATTTTGTTGAGGATTTTTGCATTGATGTTCATTAAGGAGATTGGCCTATAGTTCTCTTTTTTCAAGGTGTCTTTGGTTTTGGGATGAGCGTAATGTTGGATTCATAAAATGAGTTAGGCAGCAGTCCTTCCCTTTCTATTTTGTGGAAAAGTTTAAGGAGAGTTGGTATTAGTTCTTCTTTAAAAGTCTGATAGAATTCAGCTGAGAATCCATCAGGTCCTGGACTTTTCATTTTTGGGAGACTCTTTATTACTAGTTCAACTTCATTTTGTGTTACAGATCTATTCAGGTGATTAATATCCTCTTGGTTCAATTTTGATGGTCATAAGTATCTAGAAATTTGTCCATTTTGTCAAGATTTTCAAATTTACTGTAATATAGGTTCTTAAAGTAGTCTCTGATGATTCCCTGGATTCTGTGGTGTTTGTTATTATGTCCTCTTTTGCATTTCTAATTTTACTGATTTGGGTTTTTTCTCTCCTCATTTTAGTCAGGTTTGCCAGGGGTCTATCAACTTTGTTTATTTTTTCAAAGAACTAGCTTTTAGTTTTGTTTATTCTTTGTTATTTTATTGCTTCTATTTCATTAATTTCAGCCCTTATTTTTATTATTTTTCTCCTTCTGCTTGTTTTGGGTTTTGCTTGTTCTTGTTTTTCTAGAAGTTTGCAATGTAGCATTAAGTTATTCATTTGAGATCTTTCTGTCCTTTTAATATATGTACTCATGGCTATAAACTTTCCTCTTAGAACTGCCTTTGCTGTGTCCCATAGGTTCTGGCAAGTTGTCTTTTACATTTTCATTGACTTCCAGGAAACTTTTAATTTCCTCTTTTATTTCATCAATGACCCACTGATCATTGAGCAATGTGTTGTTCAGCTTCCAATTGTTTGCCTGTTTTTTACTGCTGTTTTTGTTGTTGATTTCTAGTATTAATGCATTGTGGTCAGATAGAATGCATGGTATTATTTCTATTTTCTTATATTTGCTGAAGCTTGCTTTGTGTGCTAAGGTATGATCAATTTTGGAGAAGGTCCATGTGCTACTGAGAAGAATGTGTATTGTGCAGAATTTGTATGAAATATTCTGTAGACATCAGTTAGGTCCATTTGATTTAGTTCTAGGATTTCTTTATTGATTTTTTGTTTGGATGACCTATGTATTGGTGAAAGGGGGTATTAAAGTCTCCCACTATCACTGTGTTGGAGTTTATATATGCTTTAGGTCCTTCAGAGTATGTTTGATGAAATTGGATGCACATAGGTTAATAATTTTATTTCCTTTTGGTGTATTTCCCCTTTTATTAATATGGAATGAATGTCCTTCTTTATCTCATTTGATTAAT